AAAAAGAAATCGAGAGAGCTGATGCGAATTCGAAATGGATTTTAAGAATTTTTTTGCTGGCGTTCTGATCTAACTAATGATGACATAATTTCGTCTTAAAAAGGTAGGTTTGAAAAAGGGTGTGGAAATGACATTTTTATGGTATGAAATAGGGTCAGGATTTGGGGAATCCGGTGGTACTCCTCCACCAAGAATTCCTAGGAATACCCCCCCCCCCCGCGTTAACCGGTTAAGCTGACAGGTGTTAAAAATGCAAAATCTCATTGCCTTGGTTTGTCCCATTCCAGGATTATTTTTTATTCAATTTTTTGAGCTCTTAGCCCATCGAAACAACTGTAACTGAAAACTAGTGAGGAGAATCGTACATTTGAGCTGATAGTTAAAAAGGTCCATTGACAGGTGTAGCAATTTAAAACTGTCGTCTTCAACAAAAGCTCTTAACTGTAAAGAACACACCGCTAGATAAACAAAATCCTATGAACTTTACCTTGAAACACTAGAATTTCACGTTACGGATTGTCGTTAGTTTTTATTTCATTTAACAGAGAAATAGTTTAAATTTTAGCCATAGTGACATCGACCGAACACTATTATTCTGTCACTCTTGACTACTGTTAATTTTTATCATATAACTCAGTCGTATTGCAAGGCGTAATCCAACGACCGATCCATAAAAGTCATTTCAGACAATCACAGCGCCTGACATTTCTTATTTTCACCCCAGCAGGTTACAATCACGAAGCGGTTACAAGTACATGTTTGTCGTCCGCTAGTAACTGTGGTTCGTTAAGCTCTTTGTGGACCTCAACCTCAAAAAACATGCGCCAGTACCTAGAATCGCCCACGACCCATGGGACTTGGGCTCCTGCTACAATTACGTTTTTTAGGCAGTTATTAGAGATATGTCTATGTATACCTCAAAATTCTGCGATGAGTTTTCTTTCAATATGCAAATAATAATAATAATAATAATAATAATAATAATAATAATAATAATAATAATAATAATAATAATTGTTTTGTTTTAATATGCCTATTATAACAATGTTATTGGCAGTACTGTTATTATGATCAGGATTTCTTAGTTATTTAGAGAATCACATCTAATATATTGTTTTTCCCTTCCATAACAATATTCTTTAAAATATGCCCATAACTGTAACAAATACCCGTTGTCACTGTCTACAATTTATCAATTTTAAGACCTGTGATTTCCCATTAAGTGTCTAGTGGTTAGAATATAAATACTTCTTTGCCCACAAAAGTAAAGCCGGTGACGAAGTCTTTTCGCCGGAATCTACTCAGTGTACAGTGAGACTCCAGAAAGTCCTTATTTTTTTATTATTACTTTTTGTTAAGTAAATGCGCCTTTTTGCAGAGTTTCTAAAAGAGCAACTCTTCAGTAGCTTATCTGTTGTCAGTAGCCATAATCAGGACATAATGGACTGAAAAAGCTTGTCAAAAATTATCTGACGGAAATTCTCAAGAGATGTGTCAGGAACAAAATAGAAAAAAACGAAGAATTACTTACACACTTTTTAAACAGCAACACTCTGAATCACTACATAAAACTAAAGTTCATTATGACAAAACATTTGACCACAACACGAGAGGGTATCTTCTCTTGCCATACACTCTTTTTTTTCTATAAGAATATATTTTATAAGAATATCGAGGCTGAAATTTGCGAAATCTTAAGAATACTTTAAGAATAAACTCCAGGCTGAGATTTTGAAAAGGATATAATTTCGTGTGGTGAAAATCTGTAAATACAATACAAATATACGTTTTCAATTTATTCCTTTCTTTAAACGGCAAAACTAGCTAACTATATTTAACAAAACTATAATTGATACCTTAATATATTCTAAAACGGAAATGTCATAAGCTATTATTAAGAATAATACAAGAATATTTACAGCCTAAAATCGGCGGAAAAATAAGAATATTCAGCCTGGCCCGGGAAAACAATATTCTTATAAAAAAAAAAGAGTGTATGGAAGCTAAAGCTTTGGGAGCTATGTGATGTGTCTCATTAAAAATGCGACTTTATGCGTTCCTATTTCTTACTTTAAAGGACCTTATTTTGTCAAAGATAATCTGTTTGTAGATAGTATTTGTTATACGGTAAATTAGGGGCCTACCTACTGCCTTACTTCTACAAGAAAAAATGACCACACTTTCAAAACAAGTACTTTTAACTTGCTTGCCAAATATCGCAAACCGTGACAGTTTCCAATAAGCCCCCTGAGAGAAGTTTGTTCTTTTTTGGTTTTTGTAAAGGGAGGAATCGCGGGAAGACCTCACTTGCTGTATATTTTAAAATCAAACAAATCTACTCTCAGTATTAGTAGTTTAACTTAGTTTGCCTTTTCTTTCAGTGCATTTTGCACCAGGCTTTCAACATGCCTACTTACCCTCGTTTGGAATATATTTTTGACCGTGACAGCCCCGCCGGCTCCAGTTGATTGTGACGCTTTATCGTTTTGAAGTCAATTGAATATTTTTCTTCAAAAGGATTCAAAACTAATGAGATTCAAGTAAAGTAAACATCGCTGTTGTGATTTTCATAACAACAGCCCGATAAGTACCCTCGTATCGCCAAACATTATATAAATTGATGTGCATTAGATCACTCATTGCAAGACACCAAGTTGATTTTGCTTAGGAAATGAACAAGTTAAGCGTTAAGTAGAATTGTCTAAAAATTTAACAAGCCAGTAAAATTTAATGACTTTTTTGCATCACCATGGGGAATGCTTACATTGAGTGGACTTTACCTATGTTTTATGTATGATAATCTTCTTTGATTCGGCAACTTATGTCGCTCGCTTTGTTTCGCAATTGCCACTTTTAAATTATGCAGGGAAATCGTCAAACGCGACAGAAAAGAAAAGTTGCAGTTCATTTGCCTAAAACACTGAACCTTTGTTAGCTACTGCTGAAAAGTCTTAACTTGCGGTTTATTTTTCGCGGCGTTTGGCAGGCATTAGTCTCGCATAACAACTGAGTCTAGCGTGGTCTAGCGCGACTTTTGATAAAACTGCAATGTAAATGTTTTTTAATTTTTGGCTCAGTTTATTTATACTGCGTTGTGGAAATTATCTTTAGAATCGGGCGGGTGAATACAAGCCTAAATGACTGGAACAATTTCTTTTTATTTCAACCCGGACGTCGTTAACGAAGACATCTGTAATCAATACTAACACCAGTCGTAGTTCCCCTTTTTGGTCGCACGCAATGCAAATGCCTTTTAATTTTCAGTACGAAACTTAATTTAAAGGGAATAGACATCTTTCTGCCGAAACTTAACAGAAAATACTCGTAGGATTAACTGTAACCTGCAAACAGACGGGGCAGTTGTATTATATATGCAGAAGCAAATTATCACAAAACGCGATTTTGAAGATGGTCGACTCATTCTATAAATAGGTCTTTCTTAGTAGAGACATGATAATTTAGAATCAAAGAAAAAGCAGGGAATACTAACTAGATTCAGAAAAATTACGCGTGAAATGAAGGTCAGTTATTAAAAGCAATTCAGTATTAGATTTCTTTTATTCTTTATCAGCCAATCGACTTATGAGAATCTATTCAATCAAACTTGCATTAACGCCATATCCGCTATTACTAATGATCATTGAAAAACCATTGTACTTTGAGCTGTTTTGTATACACGTTTACAGACTCGTTGTTTCCTTCCAGTCGAACGAGAGAAATTTGCAAACTAAGAAAAGAAATTAAAAACTAGGGTTACCATTAATTTCTCCGACTATAAAAATTTTCACTCTTTACCAACATACTGCTGATTTACCATATTTTTTTGACAAAAGTGTTTGAACGGAAAATGTAGGCGTCATTTGAAGTTTTTCATTTAAACCGCTTTTGCTCGAGCTCGAAGCATCTTAAAGCTTTTAAAACGTAACTATACAAGTTCCTTTTTCACTAATATAATTTCGTTCATCGTTCACACTTCTACAAATAAAACCTGTAACAGGCAAAAAATACCTTTTAACTCCAGTTCAGCCATATTGTGTAAACCACGATAGCCTATCGGTCTACATCACGTCGCAGACATTTGTTTGGCGCGAATAGTGCCAAAATCGTGTCAAACGAACGTTGCATGTTTCCGGTCGCTAAAATAAATGAGAACAACATTGGACTATCTGGGATGGCCTCAATGATCCTCCTACAAACACAGTTTTCGATCGTGTCGCAGACCGTCGCAGATTACAATCATGGAAATCTGTATTCAGATGTTGCCCACAGTAAACGTCAATATATAAAACTAGATAATAGAGAGCTTTAGATTCTGAGACGAGGACGACAACGAATACGAGATTTTCTCAATACTGAATGTTGCTCACGCGTGAATCAGCGTATTTTTGGCGTAAAAACGTGATAGCCGTCGTCATTCTACTAAGGGTTTTAGCGCAAGAATGTCGAAGTGGCGGGAACAAGTTATCAGATGTGTGACGTTTTATCATTTTGCTATTGGAAGAGGGCTTAACCTTCTTCAATATAAATAACCGTACTAGCTTTTTTGGTGAGAAAGGTAAAGTGACGCTTTCCGGGGTGTCTTTTTTTTGAAACACTCGAAAAAACTTATTACCAAAAATAAAGCAACTGCCCGAACGTATTACCCGTGACGTAGACAGAACAAGGAGCCAATCAGATGACAAATCGAAACAAATAGCAGCCAGGGAATTGAGAGGGAAAATCATCCTCTTCCCCCGGGATCCCTTCTATCATGCGCGCGGACCCTCGGAACGAGTTTGCGGGAAAATGATTTCATAAACGTTACGGCTAATTTTAATTGACCACTGATTGGTTGAGAAGTGACACATGCGCAACACAACAGTTAATCTGAAATAGCCAAGAACTTATTTATCATTTAATCAAAATACAAACACAAACATATTACGCATACATTGAAATATCCTCTGCAATATCAAACAGAATTTTTTTTAGAGAAGAACTGTTACAGCTTCTGCAGTGTTCTGCGATTCTTTCATACTTTCTATTGCAAATAAAAAGCAATCAAACAATCAAACTAATTTGACACGATGAATAAGTTGAAGTGAAGAAGTTTTTTTCAGTGTAAGAGAAGTTTCTTATTCCATTTTCAAAGGCAAAGGGGGGTAACAACAGCGCTGTTCGCTAAACTACCTCGGGCACCTGGCAGCCCCTAGAAGAAAGGTTGTTGTGACGCCACTAGTGTTCATGAAGCAGTTGTTGAGTATGCTTAGTCAGGCCAGGATTTTGTCATTTTACATTTTCATAAAAACGCCGCGATAATGTTTCTCTTAAGAGTAGCCGTGCACCATTAAGTTTCAATCCTGTAAAATTCATACAGTTGATGTCCGGACAAGCGCTGTTTGATCAGATGCCTGGTTGTTATTTTCCGGCGAAGGCCGTTCTTTTCCGCTCGAGGATTGAAAGGTGCTTCTGTGATATGACCTGACCAAGGACATGGCGGTGGATACTGGTTGTTGTAGACTGTATTCCTTACATATTATCTTGTAGCCAATGTAACGAAACGTTTTAATCATCTCCTTATTTCTATAGGCATACACGAAGGGGTTAATAGCGCTGTGGCTATAGTGACAAAACTTGACAAACTTGAGAAGACGATCCGTCCACAGCGGGGAGGGTAGGTCCTGCGGGTAGTATGTTGCTATGACGCTGACCACAAAGAGTGGTAGCCAGGCGATAACAAACAACCCAGTGATCATTGCCACCGTCGCTGATAATCTTATCTCGTTTTTGTACGCTTTCTTGTGGACTCGGTGGTGTTTAAGTTTGCGCATGGGCCCCGAGCGAGCGTACACGTATATAGTGATGTAAGCCACCAGGATGATAACGAAAGGTATGAAAAAACACGTGGTCGTCATAAGAATCGTGTAAACTTCCGTCCAGCGTTGAAATTGAACTGGTTGTAAACTCGCTATCATGGTGGCGTAAGTCCACGGAATCGCGATCATGGTGTAGAAAACTCGCGTTGCCAGCGTTCTGTGACGTAAAGGCCTCACAATCGCGTAGCATCTCTCAATACTTATGGACGTAAGCTGCAGAATAGACGCACTCCCAATGAAGATATCAATGGTGATATAGAACTGGTAACCTGCTTTAGTGTAAGGACGCTCTATAAAGAGGCTAAGAAAGATATACATCCAGCAAGGAATAGACACCAATCCCACCAGAGTATCACTCACGGATAGATTAATGATCAACGTATTAGTGACAGTCCTTAATTTCCGGTTAACCCAAAAAGAAGTGAGTACAAGTCCGTTTCCGGTTATGATAGTTATTATCAATAAGCAGTACAGCACCGTAATGATGGTGAGTTCTGGAAGTTTCATTTTAGCGAAAGCTTCTGGAGTTGAGTTTGTACTTCCGGTACTGTTCTGTCCCTCCATATTAACAGCTGTGCTCCGCTTACGGGTGAGTGTTTCGTAAACTGATTTTGGTCAATACTCTTGTCGATACCTAGTACTTGATCTAAGAGTAAAATAAAGAACAAGTTTCAAGTTACTATTAGAAAGCAAGGAAAGAGGACAAATTCTAATGACTAGCACTCCTCTAGTAGGAAAACACACAGAAACCAAGCCTGGCCCCAGCTGTTCAAAACTAAGATGGATAACGCTATCCACCGGATTGCATTTGCTTAATGCTTATCCACTGGATAGAGATTTATCTGTTGTACAGCGCTATTCAAAATTTGAAAAACCAGGGTCTGATTGGTTTGTTTAAACCGAGCAGCACGACAGTTTAAGGATCACAAAGCAAAGGAATATTTTCTCTAACTTGATTTTCTCATGTTTCCCTATGATTAAGTTACCCTTACGCTTTCTCTCTCTTTCTTCCCTATAACCCGTACTTGGTCCTTTGATGCTTTCTATTTTTCCTGGGGATACATTGCACAATTTTCCGGTAAAGGTATGCCCCTGGGGGACGTCAACGCCTGGGAGGAGGCACTCCCTTATAAGAGAAGAGGAATGATTTTGACTTGAGAAGAAAAAATTAAAATAGGGTAGTAAATATTCACATATACACCAGCTAGTAACCTAATGAGCCCAGAGGTTTTGGTGATGGACTATGTGGTATTTGTCTCCTTATCATCCCCCTTTATATTTAAAATTTTGACCACTCCCAAACCTCAAATTTTTCAGTTTCGCACGGTTTTAAGACCTTTTAACATCTCCCCAATTTTTACTCTATAAGAACTTTCGAAAAATTACCCCAAAAATTCTCACACATTTATTGAACCAATGACTACTACCTTATGGAGTCATTTTTTCAGTTTCAAAGCAGCTTTGGAATGAAGTAAGAGGGTAGAAATAAGCGAAAACAAGTGCCATAATGTCCCATCATGGCTTTTGACGAAAAAAAAGGGTATTGACGGGACCCCCCCCCCAAAAAAAAAAAAAAAAAAAAAAAAAACACTGCCGTTTTGATGGACTTGTTTTGAGAGCCATTTTAGGATTGCAGCCAGATCCACTGCACTGTTTTTTGATTTAAAAATTTAGTCATATCTTGACAAAAGAAATTTCCGGCATTTGCTTGTTGCTGGATCAAAGCGGATAGTGATGAGTCAAAACAAATTAAAATATCAAACAATTTTCTGAAGCTTGGTGTATTTTTGCCGATAGATTTACTATGCTTTCATTATATGTAAATAAAAATGTGCATTTTACAATGTAAATACCCTAAAAGGTCCTAGAATTTTCGACCTTTTCGCTTAGTAAACACACAGACAGACTACTTTATATTCACAAAATTTTTTCCACCATCAGTCAAATTAGCTGAGTTGGCTTTCAGCAACACGGCACCGCCGTTCTTTGACTTTTTGCTGTTCTGTAAACTGAAACACTTTTAAGTGTTTCAATTAATGTTTAAAAACATCAAATTCTCGAACACAGAGCCAGCTTGTTGACTTAGACATGAATTCAGACAATTCTGGAAGAACGAGTGTTTTTCTCTGCCCACTCCTTGCCCACTATTACTCCGTTCTTGGTAGCTCCCCTTGGATGGAAGGCTTAATGCAACTCATTAACGTACAATCTATCCTATTCCTTCAATCCCATACTAACTATTTAACACCGAGAATAAACCTGCCAACATCTTCGAAAAACCTTTCTACTTTTACTTTTTTCTCAATCACTTTCAGATAGTGCATGAATTTAAAACATGACAATAGAGAAAAGTCGTTTTTAGCCATCTATAGAACAATGAAAAACATAAACAGTTCCCCCTGTTCCAAGCGAGCAAATATAAAATTCAAAAGTGATTGCATTAAGACTTGACGCGTTTAAAAGTTAGCACCTGATTAACTGAATTCATTCTGGTGTGAAATCTAGCGACAAAAGTAGCGCATTGTTAACAAAGCAAACAAAAAAGTCCTTGCAAAAATCAAATTTTCCTTGCCCTTTTTTTTTATAAAAGAGACACTGACAATATACAGTACCTATATGCCAAAAATGTTCAAGCGCTGAAGGAAAAGGTAAACTCAACAATGTTATCAAAATACCTCACCAGCACTAGTTCAACTCGCGATTAAAACTGCAGGGATCCAAATTATTAACAGACGTTTCCTCTTACAGGGCTTTGCCAACTGAAGTTTCTTCAGGTTCAACACCAGATTCTCCCAGATCACGACAAACCGTGCCAAACATAGACGGTTAAGTTCATGTTGTTCGGTTGTTCTGCTTAACATTTATGCAAAGTGACGTTTTTTTTTTACAAGTTGCTTCATTAAAGAAGTTAGTTTTTATTGTTTTGAGCACGGAACCTTTGGCGTCATTGTTTATTTTGGATAATAGAATCTGCATCTAAACAATGTTAATCCGCGAGTGGCGTTTGTGATAACAGCTGTCACAATAGTTCAATTACCTTAAACGGTTTTAACTCATTACCTTAACATAATGGAAACAGACTTCTCTATCCGCGTATTTGGGTTAGTCTAGAGTTGCAACCAATCATAGCTTAGATATCATACAAAGACGTTATCTATCAAAAATGGTAAAAGTCTAAATTGTCATCAACTACAAAACAACAGTTCACCACAAGCAATTCTGCACGCACGCTTGAACACACCATTCCACAAATGAAATGATATCAAACTTGTACAATCGACTGCGTGGTGGACTTATGGCCTGTAATTAGAATCTTGACCTTGGTTATAGCAAAGAGCTTATTCCTAACTGATACGAGGGACACGGCTTATCGCCCGTTAATGTTCGCGATGACAATCTATCAACTTATCATCCCACCCACAACGACTAATGGTGTAGCTAAGAACCGTTATGAAGATGTTTGTCGAAAGATAGAGGCCGTAGACTGCGAGCAGTCTCTTATTTTCTTCAAAGTCGCTGGGGTAGGACGCACGAATAAGCGTTTTCAGTGCCAAACGCACCATGTCTGAGAACTCGACAGCTGACTGCTCGCAGTCTGTAAAGGCCAGGATGTGGTCCCGGGGGGGGGGGTACTGCCATATATGGGCTATATAGGTATGTGCCGCTGTGAAGGGTATGGTTTTCAAGCAGTTTACTCTAGGATAGGGTATATAAATCAGAGCGTTTGGGTCTAGAATGTCTAGAATAGGGTATCATTTTTCAGGAAACTGATCATTTGGTTGAAGATTTTATCTAGACTAGGTAAACAGCTACTCTAGGATAGGGGGATTTGGGGAGTTTACTCTAGTATAGGGTAGCAAAATTCAGCTGAACTAGCTCTGGTATAGGTTAAGGGTTCCAGGGTCCCAGCGGCACATCCCCAACCAGAAATTCCTAAAGTACCCCCCCCCGGGGATGTGGTAAACAACTCCTCTATTTTGTACCAAAGATGCTTCCTTAGCCTGCGTAGCAAGCGTTTCCGATCGGTTTCAGATCAAAGAAAGACCGAGGAACCACAGGTAGCCCAAGCTCGAAATATGAGCATCGGCGAGCATCGGCATTGTTGCGTAACATTCAAAATATAAGGATTTGTATGGGAAAAAAACCTATCGTTTCCGTAACCTATAAAAATGAAAGGATTTCAATAAAAAACAGCTTAACTTACTTGAAATGTGTGTTACGTCTCTCCTGTGTGGTTCACGGGCTGATTTATGGCCGTTTTATGGGTTTTTATGCAAACGGTTTTCTCTCTATACCTTTATACACAGGGGGTCCACACAATCTGTTTGTGTAACCGATTGTTATTTTATAGTGAATGTACTGGATTTACCGTTTGCTTCACCTATAGCGATATATCGCTAACTATGTATATAAATCAATGATAAATAAACATTGAATTACCTTACCTGTGGTGTATAGTCGTCCTTTTGCCTCGAAAGCGGTTTTTGAGCGATGTTGAATGAATTTGAGTTCGCCGTTGACTGTTCCATATAACAATTAATAACAATTAATTTCTTCTCTTTGAAGATCTTTGCCGCAGTTTTCTCATTCTCTTAAAATGACATGAACTCTTTGTTTAAAATAGAAACAAAAGGTTAAGCTATTGCCAGTCAACTAAAATTTTTTGTGAGCCATGAAAAGGACCATTCCTAATAAAAGACAGACAAGACATAACAGTTTATTTCAGAATAGAATATTCGTGAAAAGCAAAACTAACAGAAACGGGAACGTAAAGAGCCGATTGAAAGTAGCCGCGAAATAAGAATCACAACCGTTCTAAGTGAGTTTAGCACCTTCCTCAAATTATCAAATCTAAAGAGCGAAATTTTTTTTACGGTGAACTCTTTTTCCCCAATTTACGGCTAAGGGTTAAAGTTTTTCAATTTTTACGGCTATCGACTAAATTTTGGGCCGTTTTACGCTTATCGGTTAACCCCATTGAGACCCTCTTGGAAGAACCCCGTTTGCATGGTACTCTCCAGACGTAGTTAATCGATAAACCGATAGTCGATCTTAATCGTTAGTAATCGATATCAGTCATCGATGAATATCGGTTTCCGATATCGATAGATAGAAATCGATAAAGAAAAAAAGTTGTGACTTCAATTAATATAATAGATTTTCCCATAGAAATCAATCATAATATTTTTTATGTTCATTATTGGAGAAGTCCTGGGTTTCTAAATCCCGTTGAGGACTAAGCTGAGATTTTCTCTAACCCATGCTCGTGTTTCTTCTTCCCGTTTCCAATTCTTTCCGCGAGCCATTTAATTTTATTCGGTAATGTAGACAATTTTCAAGTTAGATCAAACACTCTAGAAATACCATTTGTTTAATTTATTTTGGGCGATTTTTACGCCATTGAACGGTTATACAATATTTCTCAGACGCACAATAACTGCATGAATAACTTCATTCCCGTTTTGAAAGCTCACGTTAAGAAATTAATTCTTTTACAGTCTAGTTGTTGTCATATAGCAATCCTAGACCCTACAATACACCTTTTGGGCCTTTTAATTAACGGCAGTACTACACAGTACTACCTTATGCTGGACACACATTACTCTCGTAACCAGATCTCACTCTGTCTTGCAGTGGGAGATCTGGGTATGAGATTACACATGCGTTGTTTGATCTTGTTTTATTGTGTACTATATATTCAAGAATTTTGAGTCCTGCTTTTTTTGTTGTGTAATGTTAAAAAGCAAAAAAATAAAAGAAAAAGTTCTTCAACGGTAAGTGAACCGCGTCACGTTTGCTTACAGATTGTCGTACAATAAATCACTATAAATTTCTTAGAAAATAGAGGCAAGTACAAACTCCGCCGAAAAAAAGTTTTGTATGGGGAGGCTCTGCCCCGAGGTCCAGCGTCTCACCCTTTTATATACCATTTTTGACAGAAAAAGTACCTCTTTCGTATGCCTTCTATTGACAAATGGTGCCCCTTTCACATACTTAGTTTACAACTTTGCATTCATTTTAACTGCTCTTTAACTGCAGTCTCTTTTAAATATGAATACTCAAAAACCGCAACGTTTTCTTGAATTGTTCACAGCCATAAAGTGTATCTGTTAGGCCTTTTGGGCCTCTTTACAGACCTAAATGAAAGATTTTCTTACTGTTTCACTCACTTCAACTAATGAAATCCCTACCTTAAATCTGTTTACATGATCGACTTAAAAGCCATTTTTATAATAAACACTGACAGTTTCTTTTTTTCCGTAGCTTGCGAATACAGCAACCTATAGAATGTTTCCCATATGGCGTCTCTCTCTCGAAACATCTCTAGCGCCCGGGGGAACGAGAACGGGCGGAGAATGAGAGCGGGCGGGGAATGGGAGCGGGCGGATGTTCAACAGGCTAATTTTGCCGCTGCTCGAAATTTCAAGAACGGCCGTTCAAGCGAAAGTTTCTGAACATTTTTTTTCCTGTAGTGCCGTTTATTACACTTAAGTACAAGGTACTTATAACTTTTGAGTTGTGGATATAATCCTAAAGTATGACCGTGCAAATCATATTAAACACTGAGTACTTTCTTGTGGTACTTAATCTGCAAGGTGGACTTAACATAAAATTAATTGAGTCTGGTTCTGTGAATGAAATCACCCGCTTTGGGAAATTAACTTTGGGGATTGCTTATATCTTAGTTGCGAGTACTTCCCGTAGAGAGGGAGTGAAACAAAATACTTTTTGGCCAAAATCGAACTTTAAAAGTCGTTTTAAGCTTGAAAGAAAGCCACTCTTTTAAGTAAGCAATTCTATAAGTACTTGTTTAATCTATCTGCTCACAGTCAGCGAGATTTATTGCATTTTTTGATGGTTGTCAATGAGTGTCTGTTTCCACATTAGAAGATAAAGCCGCGTATTCAGTATTCGATTGCTAGCTATTTGATCTTAAAATTACTGAAAAAACTGAAAATGACGAGACTTACCTTTCAAAGTGCTGGGAATAGGGGGAACTAAATGTGTCCTCTTTTTCTAGTCTGGTTGATAACTTGGTGATAGCTTTGATGGCCTTCTACCCGCTTTAGAAAAAGATAATTTAATTTCTCATCAGTATACCGCCAAGAGAGTTCTTGGTACCAACTTATGGTAATTCCAATCTTCTAGTCCAATTGAACTAAAACCGACAATAATTTGGATTCAAGGACACATTACTGAAATGGTGCGATAGAGTACAGTTTATCTCGTTAAAGATAAAATCAATTATTCAAAAATTATTTCCTCAAGAGTCGCGATGCTATGATGTCACTGGTTTAAGCAAGACTAAACAAACATGGCGGCTGTACTTAATATTAAAACGGAGTACTTTGTTTAAATAAGATTACGGGTTAATTTGCCCTACAGCTAAAAAAAGTAGGCTTTTTAAATTTTATGTGACATTTTGGCGTGCTTTGATTGTCAATAGTGTAGAGGTTTAAGGTTTTTATCGTCAAAATACAGAAAGCCTTGTTAAATTTAGCCGGAAAGAAATTGATGGTAAATGTTTGGATAAGCTGGTTCTCTATTTGTTATAGAAATGAAAAAGATGAGTTAAAACAAGATGTAAATGTGAATTTAAAAACTGCAGCTGACTCAATAAGCTTGCTTTGTTTTCGTACAAAAATTACGCAGGTTGACAAGACTTCATGAAAAACCATTTTCATTCGAGGAGGCGATGATTTTCTCTTTTAAAGCAAACGGTAGAAAATCAAAACGCTGCTTGGCAGTTTAGGTGACGCTTATTTGGATTTTGGATGTTTTTGTTAAGGGCCAAAACAGCAGCCATTGACAAATTACATATCATGAGGAACTGGGTACCTGTCCATGTTATTTAGGATTATATTAATATCAGGAGCCTGGGTAATAGGCTCCTGTTAATATATAACTTTAGCTAAGGCTATATAACGGCAAAGCTCCCGCTAATAAATTTATAATCTACTTCAAACAATAAACTTGTCGAGATTGCAACGAAATCCATTTCGAGTTGAGCCTGCGATCAGACGAAAAGTGTAAACTTGTCAGTGGAGAACTCAGTGAAAAAAAAAAAACAAAACAAAACAAAAAACACGCAATCTCGATAGGTGGACAGCTGACCCCCAATACGATCATGTGATACTGGTCAGTGGATACCATGTTTTGACAGCTGTCAATTCACCATGGATGTGCAATATCAGGTTGCACGCTCCTACACTACCTAGAAAGTGTGACATTCTCAAATCGGTTTCCCTGTGCTGAGGACGGACAGATGGCCGCGGCGGATGGACATACGCGCATACGGTTACGTGACTGCCAAAACTTATTGTATGGATAGATAGCCAAATTTTCTTAGCTGTAGGGCACCGCTATCATCACAAGCCCGAGAATCACATACTCAAAAAGAGCACACCAGGCTTTACAAAGTTTTTAACTTTGCTGTCAGTTTGGCCAATATTGAACAAGATATATATCCACACCCATTCAAGAAAATGTAAGGATTGTCGGACACTTGTTCTTACACTTGTGAAGGCAAAACCACAACGACAAACCAGTGGGGGTCAGGCGGATCTTTACTAGACCTGGATCAGTAAAATCTTGAACACCAAAATTTTAAACAGTAAACTGATCCTTACGACAGAAAGAGTGATAGGAAAAATAAATAAAGAAAACAAAAATAAAATGGTGAATTCAATTTGCCCGATATTTCGGTTTGCAACAAAAACCTTCAACGGTGGTTATAAAAGCAAAATGAGTATAGATACAAGATGAAAGTTACATGTGCGAGATTTGAACACATAGCGAACAGAAAATGATAGGCTACTAAAAAGATAAATCACGTCACTAATGTCTATTTATACCACAGGGTTCTAATGTCATAGCTTTGTGGATGAGGTGAGCCTCGCGTGCCTTTCTGACAGAGTCACAGTTGCTGCGGATTAGTTCTAGGAGAATAAGAAGGACGTCGTTGATAGAGTGATCGGCCTGATTAAAATGTTCAAAGACAGGAGTAGAATTAGAAAAGTGGCTATAGTCGAAGATGGAGCGGCTATGCTCCCCAAAACGTTTGTGGAGATGACGCTTGGTTTCCCCAATGTATTGTTTGCCGCATTTTTTACATTCAATAAAGTAAGTAAGGTTTTTGGATTTACAGTTTAATCATGTATATGTTGTTTCTCTTTGGTAGAGGTGAAGGTGTAGTTGGATTGGCCTTGCTATGAAAAGGGACAGGTAAGGAGTGAGAATTTTCCGGTACGAAATTTCGCGATATCATGTTAACACGAAAAGACTTCTCGTTTCGGTGTGAAATTGGTCTGCCGGTAGACTGGAACGGGTAATGTTTGCGATTTGAATCGCACGTGTATTTTATTAACATGAAGTACATCTTCATATAAACGCGATATATAAAATGACCCAGTCAGTAATGTAAATGCAGTAAAATGCGATACGAAATCAAAAAGTCATCCCGGTATGAAACTCGCGCCGGTGCGAGTTTTCTCATGTAAACCCTTCTTCAGCTTTAGGTCCTTGAAATCTTCATCGCGATTATTCCATCTCGGTCACCGGACGGTGACGAATTTTACTGGAGTTGAATCAAGTTGTTGGAGACTTCATCCAAGTTCAAAGAGAGAAAGGAAAATTTGACGTTACGAGCCCACGTTTTCCTATAGACGTACGTGTGTTGCTTAAGGAAATTCAAGTCATAATGGTTCTTACGTAACCAAGACAAACGTCAGCGAAAATCTCACGTTAAAAGTGAATTCGCACACTTGCAAGCTTCCTTGCGATAATTCCATTTCCTTCAATTTGTAAAATGTGAGGGAATTTTACCGGAGTTGAATTCTTAAGGTCATTATCCACTCAGGTTTACAAAGGAAAAATAAAAGAAGAAACTCAACCCACCAAAACCACCATCTTTAGTCGTCTTTTGTTTGCTTCCTCCAGAAAAACCGAAATTAAGAATTTTTTCTTGCATTGAAGGAAAACAATGTACCAAAAAGTGTGTGTTTTGCCGCGGAGGTTATTGTTTTGCACCAAAAGAAAAATAGACAAACGATTTTTGGTCGCTTTAGAAATAAAAGCTGTTAAGTAGACGGCAATTGTCATAACTTTCGCCATTCACCAGACTGTTCGGCGTTTCGTTATCACACAAAGACAATCCATGGCCGAAAAAATATTTTTTGGGGACTATTTATCAACATGAACCAAAGCACCAACTACAGTTGAATAGATACGAATTTTTTTCCTTTACCTCTCGCAATCCTCTCTCAGGATGATTTTGTAACTTCTTTGTGTCTCAAAAACCAGCGTCTTTGATTCAATTAATGAAACGGTGACTAGCTATACATATTAACACTATAATTATGATGTACATGAAATGTACAGAATTGAAATAATGAAAATTAGGCATCACGTACAATGATTTCTGAGGCTAAAAAACGCTCGCACGGATAGCCCATGTTTAGGCTGCTATTCGGAGAAGATCATACTGCGAAATAGTAGTCAATGTCGATAGTATTGTAGAGTTTGTTTGGAGTCCTTACTATGTGCAGTGAATTAGGAAAAAAGGAATGCTCGAAAATTCTCTAAAAACTGCCTCACCTTGTTCCCATGGTGCATTTCTTGTTGTCTGTGCTCTCGCTTTGCTGATTTGAAGCGATTTCAGCTAGTTATAGTTAGTATCAAGAATTAAGGGAAGTACCACCTGCTTAACAAAACCCCAAAGGCTTACAATTATCCTTCTTTTTGACCAGGTGCAATTTAAACATTGCCACTTGTAAATGTTTCATATGCAAGAAATTGTCAAAAGGAGGTTTGTTAAACGTTTTTTATTGGATACATAGCTGGATCATTGCTTGTTACTGTCCTCAAATTACACGTAAATTATCATCAATAAAAATTTAAGAAGGAGGATTTTCATCTTTTTTGGGAACGCTTTTCGAGGGCATTTAAGAGATTAATAATTAACCATAGCTTCCAGAAATCCACACTTGTACTTCTCCTTTACAAGTCACTTTTATGAAAACTAATAATAATGATAATGATGATGATTGTGATGGTGATACTGTTGATGATGAAAATAACAATAGTGTTAAACTCTATCATTTTCTTCTAGCATTAAAATGGAGAGTTTAAACACACCATTGGTCACATTTCATGTTTGCGAGGAGAGTATTAAATAAAACCTATAGAAATGAATATATATAAATAAATAAGTCTACCTATATAACCACAAAGTGGACCGAACTGGTCAAGTACTAAAAGTCGTTTGATCTGACCCACGAAATGTAATGTTTGCGCACGTAGAAGCTTTCTAAAATTTTAAACCGATTTCTGTTTACAGCAAAATCCTAATGTATGATTTTTATCACAAAGTACTCCAAGAGAAGTGTGGTCCAAGGTGCCGGCGAACTTACAGACAGTCTTCTGCTGGAAGTACACGTTATCACAGGTGGCCCAAGCGAAATTAAGAGTTTGTATGGCAAATAAAACTCAACTCAAATAAATTAGCCTGCATGCAGAACGGGGGCTATTTTTTCACGCGTTGTTCAGGAGAGCACGAAGCGGGACGTGGTGGACGAGAAACGCGAGAGTGGGGAAGCCACGGAAAAATCGTGCCTTTCCCCGTCGTGGGTGTCTCGCGCTCCGAGTCTGCTTTGTGCTCGCCTGAAAAACGCGAAAAAAATAACGGCTGTAGGCTACAAATGCATCAAGTAAAATTGGTCAAAGTTATCAGTAAGTTATAAAATTAATATTGTTACCTGGTGCCGTTGTGTTTCCGTTCTACGACGTTTCAGCACGATTTGAGCATTATAACAGCATCTGACTTGACAGTGTGTTTGTTCATAATCCTCGAAACGTTTGCGTTTTAGGTTGTTTTAATTTTGCTTTGAGCTGAAGTTGATTAAATATTTGCCAGTTTGAAGTAGATTTGAAAAGGCCGGATATCAATTTAATATAGCTTTCAAGATGAACTTTTCTTATCATCAAAAATCACAATTTACTGAGATAATAGTCGGTAGCTTACCCACAAAAAAGTGGCGAAAAAGCTTCGCTTTTAATTAGTAAAAACTTTAGGTGGCTCGATATAGTTTTTCAGAGTCAATATCTCCCAAGTTTGAGGATAAACTACATCGCCATCAACAAAGATTTGGAAAAATTGCCACCACAGTTGTATTAGATAAAGACGAAAATTTGTTATGATCAGAGTTGCAACGACATCGGTGTTGTCATAGCAACGAAATGAAGCTTTTACCTATTTTACTTGCAGCAGTATATCTCGGCATTGGGAACTGTTCTTCAAAAATCGTTCACGGAAGCTTTTTCCTCCAACAGCCGCCTCGATGTCATGAAGTTTAAGTGAAATCTGTAAGACCGTTATCGAGATATTTTGGGATAAAGTTTTTATGGTCAGAAACACAGTAAAAAATGGTCAATCTTGATGTTTGGCCGTTGTCTGTAGAAAACGAAGCGCTTTTGACATGCAAATTCACCTCATAGTAGTCTCAATCTTTTTAAAAACGTGTGTGAAAGATCATGGAGATAGCTCGACCCGATTGCTAGAACGAAGGGTTTGATTAGTATGTATCGAAGGGCTCTTGTTAGCGGAATTCAAAAAATCGTGAATATAAAAGGAAGGTTAATCTCAAGAATCTTAAACTTTTTAAAAAATCTATCGAGCGGTTTAAAAATTATTCGCTAATTTGTTAAAGAGCCTAAAATGTTTACAAACCGCTAACAAGAGCGCTTCGATACATACTAATCAAATCCTTCTTTCTAGCAATCGGCTGGAACTATCTCCAAGATCTTTCTTACACGTTTGTAAAAAGATTAAAACTATTATGAGGTGAATTTGCATGTCAAAAGCGCTTCGTTTTCTACAGATAACAGCGGAGCATCAGGATTGTCCATTTTTTACCGTATTTCTAACCATAAAAACTTCATCCCAAAATATCTCGATAACGCTCTTACAGATTTCGCTGAAACTTCACGAACATCAAGGCGGCTATTGGAGGAAAAAGCTCCCGTGAACGATTTTTGAAGAGCAGTTCCCTGTCCCGAGAAATACTGCAGCAGTAAAATATGTAATAGCGTCATTTCCTCGCTATGACAACTCCAATATCGTTGCAACCCTGATCATAACAAATTTTCATCTTCCCCCACATAAATACAACTGTGGTGGCAATTTTTCCAAATCTTTGTTTATGGCGACGTAGTTTATGCTCAAACTTGGGAGGTATTGACCCTGAAAAACTGTATCGAGCCACCTTAAACGTGGCTCTATGGACTTAAGGCAGAAACGTACGATCGCGACTTTTTGTAAGTCAAATGTAGAACGCGCCTGAGAGTTTTTGCCACTAAAGGAAAACATTCTGTACTTAAAGACTTAAGTTATGTTCTGTCCTATACTACCTCTTAATATCAGCCACTTCTCCGCAACGTCACTTACCTCTTTCCCGAGGTGGTCCCACAATAAAGCCGAAGAAAAGACGAACGTATTGAAACTAAAAATCAGGGTTACTTAGAGAGTGGGCTTCGTATAAATCTTTGCGTCGCCTGAATTTCTCTTTAGTTAAGCTCCCTAAGAGCTACTGTAGTACTTCAGATCTTAGTGCGCTTGCTAAAAGTCAGAACTGGATGTTCCTCGAGATTTTCTCTAAAACCGTTCACTGTCGAGCACACTATTTAAGAATAAAATGATCTAGCTGGCTACGGTCCTAATCAATAGTGGGATTCTCTTTACGACTGGACTGGTCTGGCTGGCGTCAGTCGTCAAACGGCCTAAAATTCAACCGTTATATAGCCAACAAAGAAGATAATTTTTGTACAGCAGCTGTCAAAATGCAGATTCTGATTTTAACCGTCAAAGAATTTCAAGGTATTTCAAATCTCACTATTTCAGGTGATCTTCACGGACTTCTGGCTCCTGAGGAATCTCTAAGCTGGAAAAACCAGGTCCCATTTTAAAAAATGTTTTCAAAAAAACTCTCTCTAGACATTACAAGACCTTACAACTTGCTTATATCTGAAAGTATTTCGAAATTTCCAAAGAGAAAGGCTAAGACAACTTCCAAAACACAACAATTAACATTAATTTATACTCAATTTATTTAAACTCTTGGACTAAATTTCTACTTAATAACTGTCAACCATCAAAA